AGAAAGCTGAAATTTTGCAAGTATATAAATCTTTACTAGAAACTTATTTCCGTAGAACAAAATTTTCACCTATCTCCCCCCCTCTAGAAGTTATACCCCCCCAAAAACCTAAAAATGGCCTTTTTTAACTATTTGTTGCAATAAAACCATAAGCATTTTTGAAATTTTGCAAACGCATAAAGGCAGCGGCTTGCTTCCCCTAGTGCGGTATACTATAGTTAAACTTTAGAAAATCAAAATGGCCGCTCAAATTTACCGTTATCTAAAGTCTTTTTTTTTCAAATTTTTGATTTTGTTTTTCTTCTAGACCCCAGCCTGTAGAAACTTGAAATTTTAGGAGCTTATAGACATTAACAAATAGTTTATTTCGTTAGAAGAAAAATTTTTTCCATCTCCACCCCCTCTCAAGTTATTGCCTCTTGAAATTTGTAAAATTTGAATTTTTGGCGCCTTATATTTCCGAAACCGAAAGTTTTTCAAATTTCTATAAACACAAAAAGCTAACGGTAAATTCCATGACATTAAAAAATATAATTATTTTTCTTAACTCACACAATTAACCCTTAAAATCGAACATTATGTTAACCACACTTTATCTGAATTTTTGCTTTATTTCAAAGACTGCATAAATCGTTCATCCTAAATATATGCAATCCTAGAAATGGTTTAAATATGAATGAAAATAATTTTAATAGTGGGATAGGTATACATAGACTGTATTCAAAAGCAGAATTTTCACTTGTTGAATGGAAAAGTGCTACAATACAAACCATTGGTTTGACCCAACTTTATTTAAATTTAATGCAAATTTATTTCCGAGGTCTGACATAAGCCAAAAATTGATCAAGTCGTGACATATTCAAATTAAGCTCACATAAGTTGACATACACAAGTACACACACTGTTAACAGGCTAATAAAACGGTAAGTCGACATATAGCTTACAACATTTCATTCTCCCTACCCTACCATAAAAAAGTACAATTTCTGTCGAAAACTCAGCATGCAAAATTTGGTATCATAACATAAGCTACTTTATTGTATGCAATGCAGTCTAAGCTACTTTATTGTATGCAATGCAGTCAGATCGGTAAAAATTAAAACTTAATTTTACTTAATAAAGCGTAAAGTGAGTCAAAAAAATTTCATCCTAAATTTATGCAATATACTTAAAATTTACAATAATATTCATTATTAAAGCCATAGAACTTTTATTTTATTTATTTCAGAGAAACAATTTTTCTTTTTCTTTTGTTTCGTTTTTTTTTTTTATTATTTTAGAATTTAGAAGATTTTCTTTAAAATTTTCCAATTTTGTTTTCGTTTTTTTTCTTTATTTTTATTTCAATTAATTTTACATTAAACACATTATAATTTTTAAATTTTTCTTTACATTTTTTTTTTTTTGTTTTTATTTTTCCGTGTAAACATTTTTGTTGTTGCAACATACATATTCCTTAATTTTAAAATGTTCGATAAAATATATACATAAAATATGTATATATAACCAGGTATAAATTAACACTAAATAATATGTATATTATTTTCAATATATGAGTATATATATATATGTATGTATGTATAAGACAGACAACTCTGTTTCAAAAATTAACTTTTAACATACAAATTCAATTTTTCTTCATTTCCAACAACTTTAACAATACTTTATTGTATAATATTATGGTAACACTTCGAAAAAAAAACACAAGAAAAATCGTAAAATTCGCCATTTAAATTAATTTTTTTAATATTATATTAATAAATAGCTATAGGCAAGCATATAATTATACAACAATCATTTATATAACAGTTTACATTCCATTTAATAACTTTAACATTTAATAACTAAAAAAATAATGTTTAAGATCTTCGTATTGTTCGAAAATATTGTAGAAAATTATTTTCTATTGTGAATTATAATAAAAATTATAGCCATTTTTCATAAAAAATTTAACAGATTTTTCTATACTAAAATATTAATGATAACGATACGGAAAAAATTTAAATTTAATCAAATAAATGAATAACTATAATAATGGCCTAAGTTATAATACTGCCCTGGTTAGTATAAGGCCATCACGTAGAGAGAGAAACTCTCATTTTCTCAGTTATCGTTTTCAAAAAAATGACATACATTTCATATCAAGTAATTTTCACCTTCCTTTTATATTTTAAATCATTTATATTTAAAAATACTTGAAAAAAAATTTTATATAAATAAATTTTTGGAGTTTAGTTATCATATAGTTTTCCATAGTTTTCATAGTGAAAAGAGGGAAATTTCTAATTAAGAATAAATTCTCTTAAAAATTTGTTTCTTAAAATTTATAGAAATTCAATCAATACAGACCCTTCTCAATACCATTTAAAGAGCTACTAAGTTTAATTACAGAACAAAAATTCGAAATAAAATTAAATTGCGGTGGCCTTATACTAACCAATGGCAAAGCTTAAATTTAACTAAAGTATTGTACTATAACTCAATATAAATCGCTACATATAAAATCTATTAAGAAACCTTTTCTTTATTTTGAATATTTTTCAATTATTATCATCGATTTTTAATTCTATTATACTGTTTATTGAATTCAGTATAATCTTAATAAAAATTAAATTATTTCTATTTTAAATATGTAATTTTTAATAAATTTGTAAAATTTACAAATACCAATTAAATCAAAATCTATATATATATACAAAACAGTTAAAAATGCACAGAATTATTTCGACCGGTTCCAGCTACAACTTAGCACTTACGTAGGCTTTTAGGAGAGCAAAAAAACTTCTCAAATAAAAGTAGTTAAATAAGAGAAAAAATATTTCAAATAATTTTTCTAATAGACCGTGCAGCTTAAAATTTAATTATTTTATATTAATTAAGCTATTTAAAATTAGACCAAAACAAAAACTGCAATTGAGATACAACTGCGAAGTAAGTAAAATTTTTAATTTAACACTTACAATAAAAGACATTCCACAATTCTGTGTGCGATATTAGTTTTGTTATGGTTTATTCTTAAATCTTTTATGTTTAATCTAAAGTAATAAGGAGTAGATCCTTAATTAATTCTGATTTAAAGTAGAATACAATAATTATTAAAAGCCTTTAAAACAGAATTAATTAAATATCTATTCCTTATTACTATAGGAATAACTGAAGATTAAACAAGTTTCTATGTCGATTTACCACATTTATTGTAAAATATTACATACGTATATGTATGTAAAAATACAATTTGTATAATGCAATTTTGTAAAAAGCAATATACAAGAGAATAACTTGTTATACTATGCGCTCAACACTACATTGGCTTACAATTTTTTTTTTTGTAAAACATATACATATTTTTGTATTTTGTATTCATGCCATTTTGATATTTTGAAATATTTTTGGACTTCAATTTACTAAAAATTATTGTAGATCTAATTTTTTGAATTTTTTTTCAAAAATTTCCTTTATGGGCATGCGGTTTAAGAGCAGTCACAGAAGAGGGAACAATTTTTATTGTTAGTTTACTTAGAATATTTCTATTTGGATCCATCGATTTGAGTTTAAGTGTTTTAGCGGCAAAAAAAAATTTGCTGTAACGCTAATATTTTAAAGTTAATTAAAAAAAAAATTTTAAAATTAGTTTTAATGCAAAAATTTTTACTTTCATTCAATTGTTATATTGAACTGTTATATTGAAAATGACGTACTTTATTACAAATATAAATGTAATTATGTATGTTTTTTTTGTCTTAGACCATTTTACATTGCATTGTTTTGTTTATTGAACAGATTTTAATTTTTAATTTTTTTTTTTTTACTTTAAAAAACTCATATTTCTTATGTGTCAAGGATCTTGAAGAATTTTTATTTTTTAAATTCCTTTATTATTTCAAAATAGTTTTTTTTTTCAAATACAAAGATTAATTAATTTTTGACTTAAATTTTCTCTTTTTTTTTTTGCCTTTTCTCTAATTTGAAATTAGTGTAATGATATTTTTATATAATATAACAGTTTTGTTTTATGGTTTTTCTTTTCAAATATAGAAAATTGTTTTTTCAAGTAAATTTATAGTTTTAAAAAATTGTTTATTAATTTTTAAAATATTATTGAATAAAATTTTAAAATGAAGTGAAAATTTTTATTTTAATTAATTATTTTTTTTGTTATTTTTCTTTTTTTTTTTGTATAAAATTAATTTTGAGTTTATAATTGTATGTATAACATTAACATTTCATTATAAATATTTATGTACATTGAATATAAGTAAGTACAATTCGAATTATTATTGTTATGTTATTTTTTGTATACCTAAGCATATATTTAGTAACTCCAAGCCATAGAGTTCGAATTTTAAAATCGAACTACAAATTAAATGTCAGTGTAGAAATTTTGTCAAAATCACGAATATCTTGTAAAATTTGTAAATTTTTAGTATTTGCGACCATTTTGAAAAATTGTTTTTTTTTTTTTTGGAATAGAGTTTTGAAGAATAAAATTTTTCGGATAATTTTTACGCTCAATTTTTTATTAAAATTGGTCAAAAATTGGTATATCGAGATTTTGGCAAAATTTCCATATAATTTCACTTAATTTGCATATTTTATGCGCATTTTATTTTATATTTTAAAAATTTGATAAATTTTATTATTAATTAAAATTTTTTTTATTTTATATTTTTATGTTTGTTTGTTTTAATAAATTTTATAACTTAGCAAAAATATTTCTTCTTTGTTTCTTCTATTTCATTGTTTTATTTTTATTTTTATTGTATTTTTCATATTTAATTTTTCTATATAGTTTTCTTTTATTGTTTTTCTAATCTTTTTGGGTTTTCAATAATTATTTTATAATACTTTTTTTGTATGTTTTTTTCCTACATTGATATTGTCTTTTTTTTTTGTTTTCTAGTGTGGCATTCATGTATGATGTACTATATAGGATAAGTTTAGGATGTAAGTCTTTTCGAAATAAAATTTTTTTTGAAATGAAAATATCACTCTGTATAATAATGACAATATTGATGATTCACTCAAATAAGCACAATTATGAATATTAATGCAGAAATAAGCAATTTGTAAGCCTCTTATTTACAAGTTGCGAATAAGCAATTTATTTATTTTTATTTATTCATAATATATATTTATAATTATGATAAAATGAAATATTAAATATTTAGAATATAGAATTGAAAGTTTTAAAATTTTCAAAAATGAAAAGTGATTAGATATACAAATAAAGAAAACCTCGTATTACACATTTTCTGAATCCTTTTTCAAGTGCCTTCTTATTCAATATTAATTGATTTCAATTCAGAATATGAAGGATTAAATTGTGAATTCCGCACAAATTAATACAAAAATATATTTAATTAATTTAAATTAGTTAAAATAATTGATTTTGTTCTACAATTTTCATTAGTTTAAAGAATTTAGATTTTGTTCTGCTGCACAGAGATCTAATATTAACTTGTGGAGAGTCCCACTTTTGGAGACTGATGCAGAGATTATACGAATTAATCACTAGATTCATTTTCAATTTTACTCTATTTAAAATTAAAATGGTCAATAATAATTTTTGGTATTTTAAGTATCACAAATGAATTGCTAAAAATCAATTTATCCTTCAAATAAAATTAAAATTTTTTAATATTCAAATTTCATTGCCAAATAGTTCAATATTTATTTGCACACTTGCAAATTCGATTAATAAAGTGAATTTTAATGAATATATTTTATTGAATTTTTTCTTTTTTCGTTTTATTTTTAATATTTAATTTTTAATAAAATATATAATATTAATTAAATGATATGCACTGTTTTGTTCTATTTTATATAACATTTGGTTCCCGAAAAAGAATTATTTTATAGCCTTATTATGATCGGCGGATCGAATAACTTGGCGAACTAAGCGAACTAGGCGAATCGAATAAACGAAGTATATTTTAAATTTTCAAATGAATGGCGAATGGTTTTGTTTGCTAGGTCCAAAACATTACTAGCTCAAGTTATTAAAACATTACATTAATCATAACCTAAAAATAGTTAATACGGTAAAATAAAAAATTTTTTATTTAGGTTTTTAATTTCATTCGACAACCATCCCATCTGAGAGTTTTGAAAGTTCATTCATTAAAATTTTGGTAAAATCGCAAATTATAATACCGAAAAAGCATATTCGCTAAAAATGTCATTCACATTACCGATCATAATAAGGTTATTAAATGCAGTTTTAATAAAATATTTATTTAAAAAAAAATTTTTTTTTTGAAAAAATTTGTTTACATTAAGTGCGTTTACAATATTTACAAGAAGCTGATTATGAATAATTTGTAATAAGAATTAGTTTGTGAAGCATATGGCAACTGTTTCCATTATTTCATATATTGTATAAGAGTTTCATATTATTTAAAATTTATAAAATGATGACATTTTGAAGTTTAATTTTGAATCATAAATTTGTAACTCGATTTGGACAAAAGAACATCAATCTCACGATATTATACTAAAACTGTAGGAATACGTTTGCATTTAGGAAAGTATGTGACGTTTTTGAAAATAACAATCAAACAACAAAATATTGTTCGTAATTGCTCTACATCATGAGCGACATTAACATTAACCATTTAGGTATAACTGTCTTTATAGTAAAATAACAAAATGACAGATTTATAGCAATATGAGAGTTATGATTCAATCAGTATTATGGTAGTTATTGTATGAATTCTGTTATAATTTGTATTACGAATTTGAACTGAACTTCTTTTTGATTTAATAATATTTATTACATTTGTAATTATTAAAAGAATTATTAAAAAAAATAATGGAAATAATGAAAATAATGAACACTTTACGAATTAATAAAAATTTTTAAACTGGCCGGACTGAGGATGGCAGGGCTTAATTTAAATATTTTCATATCATACAATAAATACAATTAATACTTTAAATAATAGTTAATAAACAATTAATACTAATTAACTTGCATCATATTTTATGACAACAATATAACACTAATATGTATAGTTGCAGGATATTCAAAGGAAATTTCAATCATTGTAAAACTCAAAAATTTTTCATATTTTTATTATTTAAAGAAAAATTTTAATTTATTTATACAGGAAGAGTCAGTAACAAATAAGAAGCTATATACCATTGGGTAGACTGTCTAAAAAGAGCAAAACTCTTCCGAGATGCAAAGATTTAAAAAAAATTTGGCAAAATTTTACCTAAGCTTTTTTGCCTATAACTTCCATTGCAAAAAAAATTTTGGGCTTCAAACAAACAGTTTTTGAATGAGCTTATATAGGGCTCAAAAATAAATAGCGTATTATTTGGTCTTTCATGTTTTTTAAGAAATAAAAGCGTTTTAACTCAAGGAAGATTTCAATATTCTTCATTTTGTAATTTTTTTCTATTTTTCTTTTGCCCCGAAAATTTCTCATAAAATTTATCGAATTCTTTACCCCGTTTCTTAAGCTTTAATATAAGTTATTAATCTTTAAAAAATCTTTTATGGTTCTTTAGAGATTCTTTTTGAATTTCATGATTTTAAAGGCTTTAATAAAAAGTATATAAAGACAAATAATTGTCTTAAAATCTCTGTAGTTCGGAAACGATACCGATTTAACACTACATTCCGAATAAAAAACTTTTATTCATTTTCTACTCCATCTATCCGATAGTATATGGCTGCATCATCCTGTATTTATTTTACAATTAAAATATAAAACATTTTTAATTTTAAAATAAAAATATTTATAACAAAATATTTATTAATTAATAATATTAACATAGTGTAGAAGAATTAATAGTTGAATGAAACCATAAAGCTATACAATAAAAATAATAATAAATGTAATAAATATAATTAAAAAAAAATAAAATATTATCAGCTATTTCTATTACTTAAGCCTACAAAAATACATTATTAAAGCATAGCCAATTTAAAATATTAAAATTAAAAATAAAATTTATTTAATTATAATTTGAAATTCTTACACATTGTACGTATATTTTTGAAATTAAAGCGTTTTATGAAAAAAAAAAATATATACGAAAAAATTTAATTTGAATTTTATTTTCGTAACAATTTATTAAAATATTTTTCTTTAATGGCAAAATTTAATAATTTTAGATTCTTTGCGTGTTGCCAATTACTAATCTACTTTCTAATTTTTTATTATAAATATGTATATAGTAATGTTTGAAATGTGAATTGTATTTTGATATAATATTATGTAGTAGGTTTATGTATGTATATATGTACTTTAATACATATTTTAAATTTTAACATTTAATATAATAAAGTTGTATATAAAATCACAATAATATAGTTATTTAAGTTAACATTAAAAATTAAATTTTCATATTATTTTTTTGTTTTTTTTTTTTTCTGGTTTTTTAGTCTTCAATAATATTTCTGTGGTCACAAAGCAAAATGTCATATATTTTGAATCTAAGCAAATTCTGTTTTACAAACTCTTAATGTCATTTCATAAATTCTTTTTCTATATAATAAAAACAAAATAAGAGAGAATTCAGAAAAAACGTCTTGAATATAGAAAGAACGCTTTACAGTCATGTTGCAGCTATTAATTTGAGTTTTAAATTTAAGATATTTTGCTTTGTAACCACAGATTTAATTAAAAATTATTCTGATTTTTATTTATTTTTATTTATTTTTTTTCTCTAATAATATTTGAAATAATTACGTTTTTTTCATTCACATTTAATTTGCAATATAATATTTATTTAATTTTTATTTTTTTTTTCATATTTGGTTTAATTTTTTTTGTTATTTTTTAATTAAATTAAATATTAATTGGAATGTTTTACAATTATCATATTTTTTCAATAATATTTCTTTTTGTGACTAATTTTATCGTTGTATATTAAATTTATTTTTCAAGTATGTTTAAAAATTTAAAATTTTTTGAGATAGATTTTTAAAATTATTAAAATATTTTAATTAAAATACAAAAAGACAAAATTTTGAAGAATTCCAATTGATTTCAATTTAAAAAGTTATCAAAGATTTTTGTGTGCTATACAAAGAGATCCGGCACACTTTGTATTATTTTTGTTTTTTTTTTTTTAATTAAATTTTTTATCAGTAGTTTTTCAGTAATGTTGTTTTTCTTCATGTCCTTAAATTAATGTGAAAGTTTTTATAATTAAATTTAATGAAAAAAGAAAATATTTTTTTTTGTGTGTGTGTGTATGTTCAATAAACTACAAATTTACAATTTCACTAATAAGAACAATATTATTACTAACGTGAAGTAAAACGAAACAGAAAAATTATGCTTTTAAAAATAAAAACTTAAAATTAAAAAAAATTGATATTTTTTTCTTTTAAATAATTTTTTTTTTAATAAAATTATTCATGTGCTTGAGATTCTTGTTGAACTAATTTAAATCTTCTTGGTGATTTTATTGAACCTTGTGTACCGAACATACCTAATGAACCTAATTGACCACGTTGTGCCAAATATTTTTTTATATAACGAGAAACAAGTGTTTGTGGTCGGGCTTGCCATTCATTCATAACTTCTTTAGGAGCATTAACCTAAAAATTAAATAAAAATTAATTAAAATTTTATTACTAAAATAAATTTTTTAATAATAATAAATAAAATTGTATTGTATTTGTTTGCTTACTTGATCTCCATGTAATCGATTTAATAATGCTACACATACTATAGATGCTTTAATACCAGCATGATGTGTTAATGCAGCAAATATTGTACTCTCCATTTCAATATTAACAACACCATTTTCACGTAAATGATTTAAATAATCCATTTTATCATTTTCACTGAATTCACAAAATGCACCATCTAATCTTCCTTGACCTAAGACATATACATATAAATTTTAATTAAAATTTATACAAATTATTAATTTTTAAATTATTTATTATAAAAATTACAATTAACCTTCATAAAAATCATTTGTACATAATGTTTTTCCAATTATTGTATCATAGGGATCATCTTCACTAGCCAAAGCTTTTAATTCACGAGCCAATTTCTTGTCCAATTTTGTTGGACGTAAAACACTTTTACCAAGAATTATCTAAATAAAATAAATTAAAATATAAATTAAATTGATTATAAAAACAAAAAAATTATTGTAGTAGTATATATACACTTACAAATTCATGATGATTTCGTAATTGAGCATCTAATGCTTCTTCAGTTATAATAACAGTACCACCTTCAATACCAACTCCACCGCATGTACCAATTCTAAAGAATATTGGATCATGACATTTAGCATGATACATCAATTTTATGATTTCATGTAATAAAATACTTATTGATGGTGTACCCATACCATGACTGATTGCTAAAACGGGACCAACCTATATATATACAAATTACAATAAAAAATAAAATTTTACATAAATAAATCATGAAAAATAAAAGTAAAAATAAGAAAAATATGATAAATTTTGTAAGATTTTTTATATTTTACAAAATCACATTATAAATTTACGGTATTATGAATAAATAAATAAATAATCGTATTTTATAAAAAATAATAATAAAATTTTATATCATATATGTATGTGTGTACCTTATACATTGAATATCTATATGAATATGCGCTGATATCTTGTAATTGAGTTCCAGCTGGCAATTTATAACCAATTTCATTCATAATAAATTCTGCAAAATTTTCCATACGTTTTGGTGTACCACCCATACAAACAAACTGAAAAAAAAAACAAGAATTTAAAAATTTAAAAAAATGTTATTAACGGATATACAAATACAAGGATTTACACTATGTAAAATAATATGATATTGTTATACATATATTAGAACTTATTTAAGATTTACGTGCACGTATTTTAAACAATAAAATGATGAATTTGAATGATGTAGATATTTATGTGTGCATATAACGTAAAATGTAGCATTTATTTTCATATCGTATATGTAATGTGAGGATATTTCTGTATATTTTGCTTTACACAACTAAGATATTTAAGTTTTGTTATGCTCCACTTCCATAGATGTTTATTTTATGCCACGTTTTCAGCACTTAAGAAAATAAAACAACGCTATTAATTATAATTATCTGTTGTGTATGCTTTAATAAAAAACAAAATTATTATCCTTTCTTATTTTGATTTTTTTATAACAATGATGTCGAAATGCCCTTGAATAAAAATTATTAATGTAACATTGTATCATAAGTATGTATGTTGTTCTTGTTTCTGTTTACTTATTTGAATGACAAAATGCTTATACTTTTAAAGTAAAATTTAAAATTGAAAATGAAAATTATTCTCAGTTTCATATTCCCATTTTGCAAAAATTTACTCACAGAGTTATTGCAAATATATACACAATATATCAGTTTTGACAATCTATATCCAAAATTTACTTCTTAACATTAAATTCATTCATAACACTCAATGCAATTCAACAAAACAATATGTGCTGTAGTTTTATTATACACATTAAAATTAACAAAAAAATAAAGTTGGATCAAACCAATGGTTTGCAAAGAAGAACCTTTTCCTTAAAGAAATGAAAATTAAAATGAAAATTAAATTATTTGAATTAAATATGCACTTTTATTTTTATGTCAAAATATGTTGGTTTATTGCATACATCTAGGATGAGCCAAACAAAAAATTCAAAGAAACGTTAACAAAATTGTTTAGTTGAAAGTTAGTGATTTAAAACAAATAATCATACTTTTTTATGGCACGGCTTTCACCATGAGCTTTTCACTTTTATATAAAATTTCAGAATCCTACAAATTGCCCTATAGAGTTAAGAAAAACCATAATCAAAAATTTGAAAAAAAACAGTGTGCCGAAGATAACGATTAAAAATTTTAACTGCCATTTTGCCTTTTCAGTGTTTAATTGCCCTGACTTATAAAATTTAAAAAATGTTCGCGGTTTCGTTAAATTAATTAGTCAAAAATGGAATTTTTATGACTTTCAGCCTACTGTGACTTTTTGAGGGTGGGGGATGGGTAAAAATTTTCTTCCACAAAAATGAGTTTTTACTAAAGATTTATTTGTGTATTAATGTATTTCAGCATTATATCTCAAGGGTGTAGAAATTTTGCAAACCGAAAAAAGTACAGACAGACGAATGGGCAGAGTAGGACTAATAAGCACTTTTATTCAATTTTTTTTTGAAAAGTACTAACAAAAGAAACAATTAAATGAAGTGGCATTAAGAAGGAAGTGAATTTGAACTGTTGGAAATCACAGACTCGGAATTGTTAAGAGAAGTGCTAGCATATAATTATTTAGAATTACTTTATGTAATTAAACATAAAAATTTAATTTCATATTAATTAAGTTTCACACATAGACTACATATAAAAGAATTAGTAAAATAATTTCATTCATCGGTTGTCAATCACTAGAGTCACAAAGAATTTTTATTGCTTTTGAAATTCAATAGTGTGTTATACAAAATAAGTTTGACTATAATGGGGGCTTTATTGAACAATGCCCATTTTTTTATTACATATCAGAAATTTTATACAATTTCAATCTTTTAAAGTTTATTTATAAATTTCCAAAGAAATAAAATAACAATAAAACACAAAAATAAAAAAATAAAGAAACAAATGAGGAAATTTTAAAAAGAATTCAATTATCACGTTATTTTCCAATTACTGTAAAATAAAAAATACCTTTTCGTTTTTTGTAATCGAATTAAATCTACCTATTTGCAAGGTATACAAAATTGATTTTATTCAAAAGTTTTGCATTTTCATACATACACACATATACAAGAACAATGAAAATAAAAAATAATTTGAATGCTCCTTTGGATTAGAAATATAAAAAAAAAATATTCATGCAAGTAAAGCAATATGAAAACAATAGATAACAATAGATATTAGATATATATATATATATATATATATGTATGTGTATGTGTACATGTAGAATATATAAATTTATGTATAGTATAATTATACAAGAGTTTTTTAGAAATGGTAATATTAAAATAACTAACGCCGATAGCAACATTTTCACAAAAATAAAAAAAAAAAATAATTAAAGCTTTTAATCAAATTGAAAATAATTTAAAAAAAAAAATTTTAATTTAATTAAATGTCAAAAAGTTTATCAAAAATAACGTTTGATGACTTGAAACTCATTCCGTGAGGTTTTTTTCTTTTGTCTTAAATAATATGTTAAAATTATAATATTAAATGACCTTACAAATTGTTTGATTTATATAAGTACTCGTAATTAATCAGAAACTTGAAGGTCATTAAATTCCAAAAATATTTATCCTAAATCAGATAGTCGAAACGTATAACAGTTTGAAATGAAATGAAAAGCAAAATTGAAACAATGATGTTTGATTCACCAATAAGTCCACTGTTTTTAAAAAATAGTAATAAGTCACTTATTTTCTGAAAGAAAACAAACAATGCAGTTTGCAAACGAAGAAGGAAGGAAGTGAGATATTAAACATAATTGATAATTCATGTATATGCGCCTAAAAGTATAATTTTGTACAAATTGATTTCTTCATAATGAGTAAAAATTTCAATATAATGAGTAAATTGAACAACTTAAATAAAAATTACTCCAATATCAATTAAAGACATTATTGTTGATTTGTAAAACAAACATTTTCTCAATTGTAAGTATACACAGTAATGCTTGCAATTAGTAGGTAGAGGATGCCAAATACTAATTAATACCAACATTTATTTCAAATAATGTGTAATACAAATTTAATAGTAACTTATCATTAAATTTTAGTTACCAGTTGTACAATTATTACGAATCCATGCATATTAATGTTTTTAATTTTATTCAGATTTCATTAAATCAAACTTTATCAGCAATACCGATTTCAAAATTTGTCATTATTATAGCACTACAACAATACATTATACAAATTGAATTGGCAAGATTTTAAAATTCTTGATATATTTGATTAATTTGACAAGTTCAAAAAACTCATAAAATTTTGTTCAATTAAATTTTAAAGTTTATATGGGAGGAATAATTAAAATCACGTGAATATTGTTAAAATTGTAGTATTATGTTTGACGTCCGTATAGCTACATATGAACTATATGTAGTTCATATGTAGCTATACATATGAACTAGTACCTATACAAAAATTTTCTGTTTCTAAAAACTTAAAACCCTTAAGCCATATTACCACTCACTTTTAGTATTAAAATCTTAAAATAGTTTTAATAAAAAATGCCTTGAGAAATCAAATAAGGTATAAAATTATTAATATGTATGTGTTTAATACGTTAAATAACATTTTGTTGAATGAAATTGAAAATAATCTTTCAAAATAAAAGAAACGGAAGAGATTTTTATAATTATAGCTATAATTCATATATATACAATATATATATGAATATATACAATATATATGTATGTGAATAAAATGTGAAATAAATTAATTTTAATTTGTTACATGAAAATTCCTCTACTTTTTCCCAAAATAGAATATGTGAGATTAATCAAAAATTTAAACAAGTTTGACTTAAATTTTATTTTTTAAATTTAAAATTCCATTCCGTATATTGCATAAATTCTAATTACTTATTTTTCAAAACAAATTCTAAATCTAAGAAACTCACATAACTAAAAAAGTTCATAGCTGTCAAGTAAAAAGTTCTTTAAGCAAAAAATACTACACAATTATAAATTCTTATTTAATATTTTTTTAACATAATATGTCTTATATTTCAAAAACCTTTTAAATAACTTGTATACAAGAAGAGATTGCAAAATAAAATTTAAATATTGCCGCCTTGGGGCAAATTTATTCTAAATCACATTCTCAAAATTTTAGAAACAAGTAATTAAAAGTTTTGAATTTTAGGAAAATGCTTTTGCACAGTTTGTTTTGGTTACGATTTTATAGAATTATAAGTAAATTACAATTTATAAAAAATTATTATTAATTTTTCAACTCCGTTCTGTTATACTTAGACATCAAAGCTTTAATATCGAATTTCGATTTTCATGTAAGAAAATCATTCATGTTTGAATGAAATTTTACATCGAGAAGTTTTGAAATTTTGTACTCATAGAGAAGCGAAAGCAAAAACTCGGACAATGTTTAAGTTTCCATAACAGCATCAAAAATAATACTAAAATGTGATGAGTGAAAAAATTGGGTTTTACTCGAAAATGAATTTAGAACAATTCTGATCTAAGGTGACGATACTTACAACACAGTTTTTTAATATTACATTTATTCTCCGAATCAGAAATAGTGTCAAACAAACATATGCAAAATATATTCACATATACATATTATACAAACAAAACATGCAATACACAATCTTTATTTTGTTTAAGAAAAATATAACAAAATATAATTGATTCAACTTGTATGCAATTTTTTTTTAAATTTTCAATAATAAGTTTTTGAAAGTAGTTTTAAGATAGAATGAAATGCCATGTTTTTTATTTAAAAGTTCAACGAAATAATCAAAGACTCATACAGTCATGTAAACAAACAATTTTTCATCACATTTTTCCGTTATATAATAATTGCATTTTCAAGTTCATAACTTTGAAATTGATGACAATAAAAAATAAATAAGAAAGTTTTATAATCGTACACACGTGTATAGAGGACAGTAATAGTAGGAATTATTTATAATAGAGAAAGCAATAAATTCATTAAAGAGCGGCTCATTAATTTAAAACAAATCAATTCACAATAATAATGACAATTACTATAATAATTAAATTATACGATTGACATCTAATTGTTATACAACAGTAGATTAAAATAATTTGAATATGTCAGTTTTCACGACGTATTAAAATTTTAAAATAAATAATATGAATGAGTTATTTGAACTTTTTGAGTCGCATATCTGATAATCATTATTATTCTACTGTATATAGTGCATATTTAAATATTCAATCAAATTATTAATTATTATTCAATTCGTTAAAATTAAAATGTAATTTAGAATCAAATAATATATGCAAATACAAAATATATTATACAACCCCGCTTAAAATACATTTAATAAAATTTATTACGTAAAAAATAATTAATTGAAATATTAATTATTTTTTCAATATAAATAAATAAAAAAATTTAAAAATATTGGCATCAAACAAAACAATTTCAATAAATTGCAACTTAAATTCGTATAGAGCAGCTACATAGACCAACTTTCCAGGCGTGTTAACCAAATATTCCTAAATCAAGGGTATCTCAAGGGTATTCCATAAGTATATAAAATATTAAGTTATTGTATTAAAATTTCTCTAATCACATAATAATTAAGAATAAGAGAAAAAAACAGAAACTCTACAATGATGAAATAATGTTATATAACTCTTGTTAAATAAATATTTGTATTCCTCTTGAGAAGCCAAAAAAAATTCTGTTTACATAATTGCTATTCCGAATTTTAACTTATCTGATCTAAACCAATAATTTATGTTTATATACTTATAATAGTATGTTTTAAAAATTTAAATAAACATAATGCATCTGTATAAACAAATTTATATATGTATGTACTTATACTAGTATATAAGTATATGTATACCTACATAAATATGTACAGTTAGTGTCATATGTATACGAACAACCCAAACAAAAATAAAACTTCTTTATTAACGAAACGAAATCGAATATATTCGGTTTTTTAATTTTTATTGCTTTTACAATCATCCGTTCTAACTTCAAGAGCCATTCAAAATCACAAATAAATTCGTCAAATTCTAATTGTGTGTATGGACTAAAAAAAAACCAGAAGGAAAATATAAACACAAAATTTTTTTAAAGTTATATATGCACAACCACATCTCAATTAATTTAAGGAAAGCTTTTTTTCAAATATAAGTGAAGAAATAAAAAATCGGAATACTTGCAATAAAAATCTCCCAACTTTATAATATGTTTATATAAATGGACTCGACTGTATACACAAATTAACTGTAAACAAATATATTTTGTTAAGGTACAGTACGCTCACACATAAATCGTACTATTCATATCTAAGTAATTTCATCTTTTATTTTTTTAATTACCTTAACGTCACCAAACATTTCTTGTAAATCATGACTTCCACTTCCTAATGCTATATGATATAAGATATCCTGGTCCATTAATTCAATATTTGGATTACGCAATTTAACAGTACCATCTGAATATCTGAAATTAAAATTAAAATAAAACAAATATAGAATCATCAATAATTTTTTCCAACTCTAAGTATAAGCAGATTAATAATCAAATTGAGTTGATAATTAATGGAAAATGATAATTAAAATCATTATTTTTCATTAAATTTTCCATTTAAATTAGAAAAATATTGTTGTTTTTCTTGATTACTTTTTAATTGTAATTAAAAATTTATTTATTTTATTTTATATTTTTATGATAATAATTACAAATTCCTTTATCATTATTATTTTTACTAATATATTTATTAACTTTCATTAATTTATAATTATATTATGGTTTATGACAAAGATCACGAGATTAGAATTTTTAAATTTTTCTAATTATCAGTCTTGTTTTTAAAAAAAAATCTTTAATTCCTCTCAATAGCTGTTTGAAAAATTCAACAACAATCGATAATCAAATTATTGAATAGGCAATTAATTAAAATAGAGTGATGATCAATTTCCTCTAATAATTTTTCTATTAATTTTTCAAAAAATAATTGGTTTAAATTTTAATTATAAAAATCAAAGGGTTTTTTATTTTTACAATTCATGACTTGAGTTCATGTTATTAAATGTATATGATATTCTGGCAACATAATTTAATTAATTAAATAAAGAATTTTGTACTACAAAACAGTGTATAACATTTATGATGTATTGCTCACTCTAAATGATATTAAAGACTAGGTGATAATAAAGAATGAAAATTTAATTTTCTCCTAAGTAATTTAAAACATGGTAACTACAGTACCGCTTTTAAACAGTATAGAAGTGCATAAAATTGCATACCTAGATTTCACTGTTATACATATCTATGTACATTAATTTTTATGAAAGAATAAGAGAAATATATACTCAAGAGTCAAGACATTGGAAAACATTTTCTAAAAAAAAATTCTATTTTAAATTATAGTACGTCAATTACTAAAATATTGTTATATCAATTTATTAAAGTACATGAATATTGTATAAAACTATAATATTAGATAACACAAATATTATATCTGTTATATTAAATAATTTATAAACCATAAATTATTTATGCATATCGTCTCTATATAACAATAATATTGTACATGTGGCATAAATGATTAAAATAAATACAAGATACTATGCAAATTTGTTCATGTGAAAATTTTTAAAGTTGTGGACTATTGATTTCCCAACTCAATATACAAATAATTTAAAATTTTAATGAAATTTATAAAATTCAAATGGTAATACTCTTCCTAGGGCCTAGCACTTTTTTAAAATTTAAGTACAGCCCTGGTAATACTAACAAGAATAAATAATGAAAAATTATAATTATAACAATTGGAAATCATAAATTTGTCTTTTATGCCTAGGCAGTTAAATTATTCTTTTGGCTGACTTTAATGAAAACGGGTTATAATTTGGACTGTGTTAGAAATAATAGTATTTTTTAAAAAAAATAATAAAATAAAAGTTTTTAAACAAAACTTTTTTCCTCTTTTTGAAAATGGCAATATTTATGAAGGTGATGCAATATTGCAGATTTTCAAAATTTCATCTAAAAACGAGTCTCCAACTTGCAAACTTTTTCACGATATGCCAATTAAAATCATAGCCAGCCTAGTTACACTAAAATTGGTTCTTAGCTTATGTGAGTGTTCATGTTGCATTCGTTCCTTTTAAAGGAATATAACATTCCAAAGGATTCCAAAGAATAATATACTTAACTGCAAAGTAATTATGAGTCACTTGTAACTGCAAAATTCTTTTGTATATGGAAATTTTCTTATCAAAAACATTTTATAAAATAAATTAATAATTTTGCATATCTCTAAATTCTTAAATATTTTTAAATTAGAGAAAAATGTGCATTTCTCAATTTTAAAATATTCAATATAAGAAATTCTATGACTAACTTATTATTTTTTATAATTTTCATTGTATATACGAAAATTTTAAGCCATCCACCAGATTTCATCTTGAGAAGTTTAAAGTGATTTACACTAACATATTTTTAGTGATACCAAAAAACCGTTCACATATAGCTCAAAAATATTCTTTACATTGTCATTACACAAAATACTGCATATTAATAAAGTCATTAACAAAAATTTCGATAATATAACAATAAAAATTTCATTTCGAAATTTTGTTTTAAAAAACGATTGTAGCAAAAATTTTCTAAATGTAATAAAGATTTACTTGAATAAATAAAAGAAAAGCTACAAAAATATTTCCAATTAATTAAGATAACGGAGATAACTTTTGATTTATTATAAATATTAATTAGAACATTATTTGGAATAACTCTTTTTAACTTGATGAGTATTCATTTTCAAAAATTTCTTAATTTTATTATTCACAATTTAATATTATTACAAACCTTGTTAATTTTCTATTACGATTGAATTCATGATCATATTCCTCATCATCTGTATCGTATTCCCTAATTCTTTTTTCATAATAAAATCCATTATAATTAACAACATCTTCAACTAGAATATCATTTTGGACATTATTATCATTATCACTGAAATTTTCATCAGTTGCAAACATTTCCATATCATCATTTTCACCCTCAAAATTATTTTCAATTGCTGTATTGGGCATTTTGACTAAGTTTTTTTCTGTATTTTTCTATTTTTCACACACTTATTTTAAAAATATTTTAATATTTATATTTATTTTATTTTTTATATTTAATTATTTAAGTTTTTCCAAATTTATATTTTATCAATTCTGTTAATTCTAATAGAACCTATTTTTCTTTCAAAATATAAACAAATTCTTTAAAAATATTAAACGAATGAAATTAAAACACAATTACTTCAGTTGACTGTTCAATAACAACTGATTCAAATGAACTTTTTAACTTTCGATTACACTTCGTGTAAACAGTTTTAAACGGTAACAATTTTCGTCATCCACATAGAGTTTTTTTTTTATCAATTAATATTTGCGATTCAAATACAACTACAAACATAATTTTGTAGTGTATATAAGCGATCATTAAATACTACGCCAAAGCTACTGCAAAATTAACTGAATTATTGCAGCTGTTTCTACTTAACTACTAGAATTAGACCCCTTTATGTATATCTTCAAGTGTGCATTGAATTGTAAAATAAGACCTAATTTTTGGAAAAATTTAGTTTCAGTTATATGATGTGTTTGTATGTGTGTGTCAATTTTATTTATCTCTTTTTCTATTCATAATTTTACTTTCTCACTTTATTTCAATTGTAATTGTTAGTTCTTATTTTCTTATGCTCTCAAAACTATTCAAAATTGAATGAACTGTTAAAAAACGGGTATTTCATATTTTGTTAAGGGTGGTTAATTTTACATTTATGTTACACACATACAAGTACATACATTTATTTACGTATATAATTATATATTTTTGTAGTATTAGAGATTAATTTTTTTTTTTGTAATGAAAATGAAAATAAAAATATTTTTTTCTTAAATTTAATATCAATAGTATATGTTTGGTTTTAATAATATTGACAATAAGAAATGTACATTATACGCACAAAAATTTAGGTATAGGTGCCGAGATTATATAATTATACTTATGCATCTATATGCAGCTTAATTTGCAGGTCTTCTCAAAGGTAAATCTTCTTCCTTAAAACTAACATTAAAGCACAGACAACAGTTTTGAATCTACAAAAATATTTTTGTCCAAACTTAAAAATATACGAATAAGATCATATTTTCGTTCATAGTATATGTAAGTAACATTATATGTTAATCAAAGTTTGCGTAGATTTCAAAAATTTCTTCTACAAATAGTTAAGTCTTGCGTAAACAACATGGCCTTTCCAAAAATTTGATGACTAAGTTTTATTCAAATACCGAATATAATATGCAAAAATACCGAAAATGATAATCAGAATTTTAATTATTAACAAATTAATTTCATTTCCACCGAAAACTGGAGTATAGATTTATGTTATCAAACTTCCACATACTTATTTCTTTATGTATGCATGGATGTACATATATATGTACATTTTGTATATAAATTCTTATTCATTCTTATACCTATCGAGCTTTTTAGTTTATTTTTATCTAACTGGATTAACTTGTTCAAAATAGCATTATATAAAACCAGTACGAACGAATATTTGAAGGGTATTACAAAATTAGTACTCCCTACATAACGAGGCGGTTAGTAATTTTATAGTTAGAGATTTTGGCATATGTATATGATTTTGAGTCAATTTAACAATATCTGTTCGTTCATCCATTGATCCGTCCATCCGTTAGTCCTAGTGACAACTCAAAAACACATTGAATTAACCAAATTTTCACCAATTAATAAGAGTTGTTACCGCAAGACTCCTATTTAATTTAGATTCAATCAAAGCAGTGGTTCAAGTAACTGCTATATGACTTGTAAGTAATTGGTCATATTTCTGGGACGGTAGAATTAATGAAATTTTGATAAGTGTGACAGGGATCGAATTCGAATGGAGTAACAAGGCTATTTTTCCAGCAAAATTTAGTAATGGTTCTTATAATAGCGGCCGTACAAATACAAAAATAAATTGTATTAAACCCGTAAAAATTACTGTATATACGCAGACCAATTATGACAAACTTCAGTTATAGGATTGATAGTTCTGAATGCTTATATGTTAGTTATCAAATAGCTTTTGAAAAGTACATACATATATGTATATGGGTATCACAGAGTTGACACGACCAACTTCATCTATATTCTCGTTTTTATTTTAAATTTTATGCAAATTCTCTTTTATTTTCGGATTAAAAAAAAAATCAAAATTATAATTCAAAACATGACATAAGTAAAATATGTATGAAATTCCTTTTCAAAGAAAATTAACCCTTTTAAATTTTGTTGGCTTATGCGTATTATTGTCAAAATATTTTTATAACTTTCGCTAAGTTTTTTTCTTTTAAAATTTTAAATATATAATTAATATATGTATATGATGCAGGTAAATCGTGATAACTCCGTAAATGGAGTAGATAAGAAGGGCTTCCATATTTAAATTTCTTCCATATTCCATAAGCATTACATAGCAAAATTTTTTATAATGCACAATTTTATTGAATGCACAAACATATAATTATACATATAATCTGTTATGAACTAGGCTTGTTGATGTTAGGGGACGACCCGGCAGAACATGTCATCCGCCACTGGTTGGGGCATCGGCCGACAGCTACCCCAGTGTGCATCTGGCTGTGTCCCGGAGCTTCAGTCTGGGGTGGGAAGCCTAGTTCATAACAAATCAGATAATACAGTAAAAATTGAAATATAGGCTTGAATGGGTTAAAAATTATTTGCAACTTTACCAAATGACTTTTATTCTCATATTCATCAACTTTTTTTAAAATACAAAAAACAAAATTATTATTTTTTAATTACATGGTTATCAAATTAATTCAAAATCGCATAAAAAAAGTTTAATTAAGGCTTGTCAAATACATAATTTGATTATAATTTCAAATCAAATGCCTATTTTTAAAATTCTTTATATAAAATAAAAAACATAAACAAATACAATTACTTATGGACTTCTACAATAATTAAAACAAACACTTATGTAGATGAAATTCTTAAAAAAATAAAAAAAATGTTGTATGAAATCGTGAAATTTTTTCACTTTTATGATAAGTAGCAGATTTACGTATTAGTAAAAATTCGCTATTGGGGATTTCGGGATCAAAATAATAACAAGTATACCCAATTAAAGTAACCCACACAATTAAAGTTTTATACGTAAAAGAAACACAAGCAAACTAGTGAATAACGGAATATAAATAAAATTGGTAATATTTTGAAATTCCAAACAGATATAGGAAAATTGGAATTTTCTTATTTACATACATACATATGTACATAAAGTTCTTGAAAATCTATGTAACGCAATTGTAAATCGAAGGTACTCGTATACACTCGTATATACTTTGTTAGTCCTTAGGGAAGAATTTTCAAGAAAAGAAAAAGAATTAAGAGAAGATGATGCCGCTGAATTTTAATATGATTTTTTTTTCGTGATAAGGATTTTGTTTATCAACATTTTTTTTTTTTTTGATTGTACATCACGTTGTTATGCTACATATAAAATATTCCATTAAAGAAGTAAAAATAAAAACAAAATTTAATCCTAAATTCAAAACATTGAATGTCAATATAGAAATCTACGTAAGCTAAATTCGGATCAAAGAAATTTTTTCCAAAAATAATCTTGAGAATTGTTTTACAAATTTTTTTTTTCAAAACATTTCATATTATCATTTTGAAGGTTATGAAAGTATGAACTCGAGATACAACATGAACTTTAAGTTTTTAATGAAAGAAAAAATTAAAATATAATTATGTATTACATACAATATAATATAAATATATATATACATACAATATAGAAACGATTATTTAATCTGTATTTACAAACGACTCTCAACAAATTACATTGTACACTTGCAAATTAAGTGAAACAAAGGAAATGAAACGCAGTAAGGGATAAATTAAATTGAAATTAAAATACATGCGGGAGAGATTTTTTTTCGTATTTTGTCCGAAAAAGAAATTATTACACAATATAATGTATTATATAACAAAGATTCTTGTTCTTATTTTAATTTAAAACTGCAGACAATTTTATGAAATAATGGAGTTTTTAAAATTAAAATCTATACTATAAAGAGGCCGATATTCTATAGTTCTACAAATATTATTTATTATTCTAATTTATACATACGTATACCGCAATGAATTTATATAGTTTATTTTTAACATACATATAGCTATTCTTTAATATTAATGAAACAAAATTCAGTAATACTGAAGTATAAATAATGTTATTCACTGAAAAATATTAGGGAACTTATGTAGGAAGTCATAAGTAAAAAGGAAACAAATGCCTCGTTTGTGGCCAAAAAGGAAGCACTGATTCTAACAGAACTTTGTATGACTATACGCTCTTACTGAAGAAAATGATTGTATTTTTTATGTGTCTACCAATTATTATAATATTTAAGCTGTCTAAGGGCTACTTTTGAGACATCCCGAAATTGTAAATCCGTGGTAGTATACATTTTCTTTTATAAGAGAGTATGTATAAATAATAATTTTTATTGACAGCCACATGCTGCGTGTATTTAAGAATAGCTCTTATACAGTGTCTATATATATATAAGGTATAATAATTTACATATTATACAAAATGGTTATTAGGTGTATAAAATTTTCAGTTTTTCATTGATTTTCCACATTTCAAATTATTTTAGTTAATTTATACCCAAGCAGTAAAATATTTTCTTATACGAAAATCTTTTTTTTTACAAAAATACGGCATGAGAATTTTTCAACATTTTGATTATAACCACAACACCTAGCAAACTTTATTAAAAACTGTTGGCAATATTAATAAATAAAATTCAATATAAAATAAAATTTATTCAATTTTTAAAATCAAAAAAAATTTCAGCCCATTCGTTGTAAGATGAAAATTTGTTATTTTTCCCTTGTAATTTATTTATAAAAATTCTTTTGATCTATCATTCATTTTTTGAGCACGAATTTTAAAAATTCTCAACACTTTTCATTTAAGCCTTAAAAACAAATTTCATTAAACATTTTATATTTGATTTTTCACCAAAGGATAAAATTGTGAAAATACTTTTAAAAAATTATTCAAAATTATTTTACTTTACAATTTAAATTTTTATTGAAAAACCTGTTTATCTTCTTAGAAGATTTTGTAATTCCTTCGTTTTAGGTTATTTATTTGTTCCTTGTTTTGAG